ACCATGATGACTGCTCTTTGTCTGATGAAACAATCAAAAGTTTTGACTTTTGATTGTTTCAATGTTCAATATGGCAGGGGAGGGAGAGCATTCCCTCGGAGATGGGGCTACAGTCAGAACAGTCTGGGGAAGCAAACATTATTGAAAAATCAAGTAAAAATAAAATGAAAGTATTAATTCCCTGCTGTCATGTCATTAAAAAAAATGTTGGGCTCAACGTGTTTTTTTTTTTAAATTTTTTTTTCTTCGGACAAACCCAGAGTGGGTTCAAAGGTTACTTTATGTCATTATTTTATGCCTATTTCTTTTATTTTGAAATTTTATGTATGCATTTTTACAGTTACTTATAAGGAAAAGGATTTTTAATTAATAAATAAATTTTCTCAAATGTTTTTTCCAATAATTTTAAACTAACATAAAAATCAGAGTATGACTTTTAGATCAACCTGTATGCATGTGTGTGTCTAATAGTTATTGGGGGGGTTAGAAATTGTGAATTCTTCATAGTTTGGTGGGGATCAAAGTAAGTTAGTACTGCTAGCACCTTATATTTTAACATATAAAGGGTCAGCACAATGTATAAAAAGACCAAGTTGCTGGGACCCTAATAAATGGATACACTTAGTTAAAAAAAAATAAAATATGGGGAAGTAACTTATGAGAGAGTGTGTGTGTGTGTGTGTATGTATGAAATAATGAAAGAAAACATTTTAAGAGTCATAGTTTGAATAAACCCTTTAAGACAAAAGATTATGATTGGCAGTATTTCGTTTTTAAGGAGGGAGAGGGATTTTGTTTATGAGCACACACATACACACATATATACACACACATACATACATGTATACACAGGTTTCAGACGACTGACAAGGCACTGTGATTAATTTTTACAAATATTTTACTCAGTCACAGTGCCATGTTGGCCATCTTAAATTGAAATCTGTATAAAAGAGGAATTGCTGCCCAAATACACTATATATAGTGATAATAAAGAAAGTGTGAATCCAGAAATGCTACCAGTTAGTGATAGTCTGAAAGAAAGGGTATTTAAGGCAAGCGGTCTTTGCAATAAAGTGCTCGATATCAGAGATAGAGTGTTAATAAGATTAATACAAATATAAAATTTGTCACTTGACTAATTGATGTTATCAAACTTGGTATAAAAACAAAGAAAAATGAGAAAAACTGCAGTCAATTGCTGAAACCTCCTGACGAGTGGACAACAGTTACAAAAAGGGTTTGTTAATGAAACTCCACAGTCAAGAGAGAGAGAGAGATGCTAAATATAACATAAATCAGGTAAGCCACAAATTTTATTTGTATTAACATATATATATATATATATATATATATATAGAGAGAGAGAGAATGGTAGAAAATGAGAAGCGACAGAATGTTTATGCTTGAATGAAATCTTCATGGCCCAAAGATTGCATTCAAACACGAAACAGACTCTCGATACAATCTCCCCTGATATTGAGCACTCTTACCCACAAATATTACTTGTCAAGTTTGAAAAAAAGAATCTAAAATGGCTCCCAAACAACTTTTACACATTTTATGTCCAGTGAACAATTGCAAATGATAATTCTGTTGGATAGTTTTTATTACATAATTAACTTAAAATATTTTTTTTATAAATAATCAAGAATTATCTCCCTTGATGTAAAAAAAAAAAAAAAGTTTTTTTTTTTCTCTTTTTTTCCTTGCCACTGCGATTTATTAAATACAAGACAAATATTTTCATACGATAAAACAACTGGTACAATTTAAAGAATGATTAGCTGAGCTTCCATGTAAAAAACTAGAAATACAAATAAAATTGCCCTTTTTTCTGTAGGAAAACAATTTGTCAGTTGACACTTGTGTTTCAAAAAATTCCTACACTTTTTCCAAATTGGCTTCAATCTTTCAAAAGATAATTTTAATAATACACACCATCAAATTGAAACCTCTCAAACCGTATCACAGACACTGGAAAATATACCACTAAGAAAGAAAGAAAAATGCTGATCTCATCAGCAATTGAAAAACAAACAATGCCTTTTTGTTTGTTTTATCCATTTTCTCCTGGTGTAAGTTTAAACAGACACCATCTTTTTTTTACCCATATATCTAAACTAATTATAAACTAATCTGGGAAAGGGAAAATTTCAGTTAAATATATCAGGGAATTTTCCCCATTTTCATCTGAATAAAAAAAATACAAACTTGAATTAAAATGATCACAATATATAAAAAAAATGGTGTCAATTAAATCCATATCCTCCTGATGTCAGTTTAAACTGACACCTTTTTTAACCATATATTTAAACTATAATTAGAAACTATAAATTTTGGAAAGAGAAAATTTAACTGAAATACGAGTTCGGATCAAAAAGTATCAGAACTGTTGCGAACGTTGGTAACAGAGCTAAAGACTGACATTAAACCTTGTCATGCATAGACACTAAGTTATAACATTCTCAATCACTTCCATTGTTTATAGCAGTGCTTGGAAGGAAAGTGTGTAGAGTGTGGTCAACTCACCACACCACAAAAGTTCCATCAGTGACCACAACTCGTGAAGCAGTTTTTGGTTAAGAACAACATTCCCTATGTCCAACCACCACCACCATATACCCCAGATCTCACTTTTTTCCTCTTTCCAAAAATCAAGTCCCATGTGAAAGAAACAAGATTTTATGATGTCAATGCAATCCAAATGAATCCGACAAGGTAGCTGCTCGCTATCCGCAAAAACGGAGTTACAGGAAATAGAAAACTACACTGGATAAAGGGTGTAGCTTCGGAACAAGATAAATTCAGCTGAGATTAAATGTCGAATTGGTATGCATTGTAGTTTTATTTTTATAGCACCAGTCCCGATACTTTTTGATCAGCCCTTGTATGTTGACAAATTTCCAAGTTTTCATCTGAAATCAAAAAAAGTAAAAACTTTAAACAAAATGATCCCAATATATGGAGAAAAAAAGAAAAAGAAAAAAAGATAACGTCAGCTTAAACTGACACCAGGAGGCTATGGTTTAAATACAACAGCCATCATAAAATGTATTTATAGATTTACATCAGCCTAATATCCTCATCTTTGTTGTTTTTGTTGTTTTCTCAAAATCTTTATCAAAATATTTCTCTATGCTCATCATTTTTGCACATCTTTGCCGGTTCGTGTAAAAATGTGCTTCAGTATTAACCAAAAAAACACTACACTGTTTCGTCTTAAACTGAACCATCAAATTAGCAGGAAAAAAACATGCCAAAAAGCGACTGGCAACAATTCACATCCACATCATTTAACGCCTGATGCAAGTGGCATTAGTCTGGATTTAATCGAGTAACACAGTACATGCAAAAGTAGATGAATTTTTATAATGTCTATAGATGAATGGAAGACATATTGAATGATAGCTTTGTGTTTTTTGTGGCTTTTTTTTTATGAAAACAAAAACTGCAAAGAGAAAGATATTTGTCTGAGTTGATACATAAGTACCAGAACCCCAAGTCCGTAATATTAACTTTGGAAAAGTGCCAAAGGAAAAAAAAAAAAAGTATTTTTTTTTTAAAACAATAAAAGCAGACATATTAAAAAGTAGTAACAAAAAATACATATTAATCTAAATTAATACTAAAATATAATAATAAAAAAAAATGAATAAAGACAGACAACTTTATCAGTCCTCTTGCACCAGAGTAAAAATCAATGAGAAAAAAATGTTCACAGCAACTAAAAAAAAAATACAGTCCCAGACGAATGTTATATGAAAAAAAAAAAAATATATTAAAGGCTAATTACCTTTAAGCCCACCAACAATTCCTTGCAGAGAGCTGGATGGCTGGTAGGACTTAATATAAACCAATTACAAAATTTTCAAGTTAAAATCAGTATTAGGCTTACTCAACACTGAAACATAACCAGGCTATAAAAACAGGTACACTATTGGTTTTTAATTAAATATTCAGCTATTGCTGAACATGATAATGCTCCTATTAAAATTGTCAGCTTTTTCCCTTGTGGATATTGCTGGGTACGTGTTGGCTGATCCATGCTTCCAAATTTTGACCTGTTCTGCCGACATACTCAGCATTGCACTGACATCTGAATTTGTAAATTACCAAAGCAACGTAATAGGCAGGCAGATCATCCATCCGGATAAGTCCCAACATAGTTCATACACCAAAAACATAGGCCATTTTTTTTTCTTATTATATTTCAGTATTATCGTTTTACAGTAATAGATTTTTTTTTTTGTTACCACTTTTTGTTCTAGATTGATTTTTAAAATGTCTGCTTGTATAGATCTAAAAATTTTTTTTGTTTTTATAAGAAATGACAGGTGAGGGCTGTATCAAATCTTTTTAATGACCTGTAAAAATAACAGGTAATAGACACAAATAAAAAACAGGTTTGGGGAGAGGGTACTCTACTAACAAGCGCCAAGGATGTGTGAAAGCCAGAATACAGGTGTTAGATATTCTGCTTTAAAATGTGCAAAGTCAGGATTCTTAGTACAAGAATTCACTTTGTCAGGACAAACATCTTTGCCTTACATTATTAAAAAAAAAAAAAAAAAGATGAAAACATCATCTATAATTGCACATTATGAGCTGGGCACACCTCAGATCGGGTCAAAATAGACTTTTCACTCACGGTGTTTATCAGAGGAGCTAGCTGCAGAGTTGACCTGAGAGGTCACCTTCTGGCTGCCATCTGCAGATCAACATGATTGAGCAAATTGGTGGTTTGATTGATTTTTTTTAAGGCTAATCAACTTTTTGCGGGTTGTTTAAAGCCTGAACATACCTTTGGATTGTATAATTTTTTAATGATTTTTCAATAGAAGTCCTACCATTTAACCCATAGCTGGGGGAGAGAGTTGGATTCCTACCGTTCTCAAGGGTATTTGTGCTTAAGTCATTATAAAGAACTTGACCGAAATTTGAACTTGGTTCTTGATTTCTCATCCTAAATCATTTTCCATTAAACCACCGATACATCTAAGCTTACAGCACCTGGTATTCCCAAGCAGTTACCCATCTAGGTACAAACCAAACTCAATGTTGCTTAACTTCAGGGATCAGATAAGAATTGGTGTTTCAATGCGATATGGCCAGGAGCCTAGAATGGGTATGTATGAGAAAGAATAGATATGTCAGGCAGGTGTATAAACACCAACTCTAGAGGAAAGAGGAGGCAGTTTCTTTCAGACGTCACACACTAGAATGTAAGCTCCACATTTGGAGCACCAGGCTACATAACTACTGGTCAATGTTGATTAACAAAGTCCGGATGTGTTCCATATCAGAAAATTAACTCTTGTACATTTTATTTGCCAGCATGACAATGTTATTACACTCAAAATTATTTTTTTTAGGCAATAATAAAACCAATTTAATAAAATTGGTTCTGCTCGAGGAACAGAGTGTAAAATTGCTTCAACAGTTGGTTATATGACAAAATGGAACCAGTAAAATGATTTTGATCCAGGAGGCTGGACATGTTTTAACTCAAAGCATAAGCCATAGTCTCTGCCTAAAATACATGTCAATCTAATACAAAGAAAGTTTTGATTCATTCATTTTCTATAGCTTATCAACCCTTTGCAGGTTATTTAAAGCCAGAAAATATATTTTTTAGATTATAAGATTTGGTGGGGGGATAATAAAGGTTTAGTGATAGAAGTTTTACTAATTAACCCATATTTGGGGGGAGAAGAGGTGGATTTATACCTAATCAGAATTTGATAAACAAACAAGAAATTATAATGTGGATATCAAAATTGGGGATCAATTCAATACTGCAATCAATATATAAACTGATCCCTTAATTTGTGCTCATAGTAGATTCTATACATTTATATTCCAGAGAACGTAAATAAATTTAAAAGACATGGCTATGTAGTTAATTAGTATTTCATTGATTGTTTTTTTTATGGCTTATCAACCCTTTGCAGGTTATTTAAAGCCAGAAAATATTTTTAAATTGTAAGAATTTTTTTTGAGATAATAATGGTTTAGTGATACAAATTTTTACTAATTAACCCATAGCTGGGGGAGAAGGTGTATTCATACCTTTCCCAAAAGATATTTGGGATGTAAGTGAATATAATGAAGCCAACGGGAATTGAAACTTGGCCCTCCGATTAACAATTCTGAGCCATTATCCATTACACCATCCGCACCTCCAAGCTTACAGCACCTGGTATTCCCAAGTGGTGACCCATCTAGGTACTGCCAAGCTTTGATGCTGTTTAACATCGGTGATTGTACAGGTACCAGTGTTTCAACATGATGTGGCCATAAACCAGGTGACAATGTGACTGACCAACATGGTTGAACTTAGAAAAGAACTGGATTTTATTTACATTCGGACTTACGGCCTTATCTTTCTTTTTGTTATCATCATAACAGTGTGCTCTCCATCCTTCCTCAGATGTCTGTCAATCCAGGTCACCACCAGGGAATTTTCAATCAAACCCTTTACTTACTTTACAAAGGTTACGTTGTTCCACTGTTCATGTCTAGGGATATCTGATTTTGTTGCTTTTTACTACTTTGTTATTGCTTGCCATTTTTCCACTGGGTCTGACTTGACCAGGGATTGCACACACACACATGGTCATCATCATAAGTAAAAGGATGAGCCTGAGATGCGATTTACAGGTCAGGAACATTAGAATCAAGCAAACACAGAAGTTTAAATATCTGGGGAGCGTTTTGACAGAGAACTCCGAGATCCATAGATGTATTGGGATGGCCAAGGACACATTCCAAAAACTTGAGTGAGTATTGCAAGACAGGAGAATTTCTTTGGTAACAAAGAATACTGAGCTGCTATATGACATCTGTCCTTTACGGCAGCAAATGATGGATGATTTTCTCAAAGATGATGAAGAGACTCGAGGTGACGGAGATGTGGTTCTACAGAAGGATGCTAAAGATGCTAAAGGCTGAGCATGTGAGCAACGATGAGATCTTAGAGAGGATGCAAACAAGGAGGAGGCTTATACTTAACATCAGGAAGAGGTAACTGAAGTTTCTGGAACACATAATGAAGAAGGAGGGCCTGGAGAATCTGAGACTCATGGGTCAAATATAGGAAAAGTGAGACAAAGAAAAACAATGCAGGACATACCTAGCAGGCTTAAGCAAGTGGATGACCGAATGTGGTCTGGGGGTGATGACAGAGAGAAGGAGGTAGAGAACCATGATCGCCTATGTCCTGAAAGGACAGGACACATAAAAAGGAAGTAGATTAAAGCATTGGTTTACAAATTACAAGTTCAATCCCTGGATTGGGTAGTCCAGACTTAGCCAAAATAAGGCATGCAATAAGTGAGCAGTACTAAAATGTGAACAAGATCACCCTAGATAAGGAACGAGAACAATCTACGTTAGCAGATTAAATAAAGGGTTCAGCTCAAAATTCCCTGCAGAATTGATGGACACCTGAAGAAGGTAGCAGGGGCACAACAGTCGAAACGTTGTTATGATAACAAATATGAAGATGTTAAATGTAAATAATAACTCCTCATCCCAGAAATTCTGACAGAATTTTATTTTTTTTTAAGAAAGAGTAAAAAAAAAAAAAAAAAAATATTAAAAAAAATTAAAATTTTTTTTTAAAGAGTAAAAAAAAAAAAAAAAAAAAAATTAAAAAAATTTTTTTTAATTTTTAAAAAAAAAGTTTTAAAAAAATTAAAGTACTGCATGTTTCATTGCAAAATAATTTGCACCAAACTTCCCCTAATCCAATATTCCAATTTTCACATATTGATCCTGCAATATTGATCCGACAACTTTCAATCAATCAGATGATCAATTATTGTCTATCTCTGATAAATCCAGCAAAGTAGCAACATCTTATCAGCTGATGTTGATAAGAAAATTTACTGGTCCAAAGTATACAGACTTGAAGCCAAGAGAGGCATGAAAAAAAAAGCAAAAACAACAAAAACCCAAAGATGTTTGCCCTGATAAAATAATTAGTAATAATAATCAGCACCCACCACAATATTAGTAAAAAAAAAATATTGGGTGGGGTTTAAAAAACAACAGATTGTCATGTTGTTTGCAAACACAGAAAAAGAGGGGACGTCCTTATATTCATTTCAGACACAGACCCTCAGAGTGACTGTCCTGGGAATTTGGCTAGACCTGCTGATCAACAAAACCAAAATGGTCAGACCGCTGGTGCTGAGAAGGAGGTTTCCGACAAGAGCAGTACAGCAGCAGATTAGCATAGCATGCTACTCCAAAGATGGAAGCAGCAGGCACCGATGAAAGTTTCCACCAAATTCTGGATGGCTTCCTGGTGTTGTTCATCTTCTGCTGGCGTCTGGAGAACTGCTGCCGTTCGAGCTTCACGGTTGAGGAGACTCAAATCCTGGAAAGACAAGGGAGAAAGTTTGAAAATGACAAATTGAAGGGCCTTTGAATTATTACTAGCAGGAACCAGTGGAAATTCAACAGGATATTTTGCGGGGGGGGATCACACTGACATATACTGAAGATCATTTTTAAAGAAGGGGATACAAATGAAGAGATTTACAATTAAAGTTTCTATTTCAGTGAAGCTGATGTTAAATGCATGAGAGCATTATCACCACATCTATCTTCCCATTCTTACTATATACACTTTCTTCTTGTCACAAAAACTGCACTGATATAGCTTTCTTTGCCATCTTTCCTCAAAATCAAGATGGAATGGTACATTATGGAATGGTAATAGCTGCATGAAACTTGTTTTTACAGAATTCTTTTCCTGATTTAACATCCAAATTTTACTCCTAGTGCCAAAGTCTGCATCAAGAATGATGCCATTTACTCATAGGTTACTTCAGAAATAACACCATTTGCCCATAGTGTCAAGGTCCCTTCATAAATCACACCATTTACCCATACTACCAAGGGGTCATCAGGAATGACGCCATTTACCCATCATGCCAAGGGGCCTTTTAGATTGATGCCATTTACCCATAGTGACAAGAGGCCTTCATAAATCACACCATTTGACCATAGTGCCAAGAGGCCTTCATAAATCACTCCATTTGCCCATTGTGCCAAGGGGCCTTTTAGATTGATGCCATTTACCCATAGTGTCAAGAGGCCTTCATAACTCATGCGATTTGTTCATGGTGCCAAGGGGCTTTTTGGATTGATGCCATTTACCCATAGTACCAAGTTGCCTTCAGAAATCACACCATTTACCCATAGTGCCAAGCGACCTTCAGGAATGACACCATTTCTGAGTGCTTTAATCCATGCTGTTAGATAAACTCATTGACTACAAAACAGTAATAAAAGCATACAGAAATGTTGGGAAGACTGCCTGGCACTTGATCTTCATTTAAAACCATAAAACATTACAGGTGTGAAAATACCTTAAAGGCAAATTATTGAAGAACCTTGCTGTCACTTGATCTGCAACAAGAGCCACTAGATACGACTGACATGAAATTGTACAAACATAAAATTATTATTTAATAATGTATTGAAGAATTGAGTTCTTATCTGAGAAAGGGAGGCAGACTAATTCATTTGAGAAAGGTCAATCTTCATGTACAAACCCTGCAAAAAGGGCATAAATAATATTTTGTTAATTTCAGAACAATGTATTGGAAAAAGAAATGACCAGTTTTACTCACAGCTCGTCCAGTGCTGCTATTTACTGACAGCAGGATGCACGTGTCTGTGCAATCGACATTCACAATGACCTGTGAAAAAAGATTTCAAATCACATAGAAAAAACAAAAAAAAAAAAAAAAAAACAAAAAAAAAAAACAATAAAAGGCATTTTTAACAAAAAATGGAAAAAAATGAAATTTGATTCGTGTTATAAGTTAAATTATATATATAAGTTAAATTAAGAAACAGACAAGTTTAAGTGTTCATAGAAAACCTTCAAGTTGTTTGTTTCTTAATTTAACTAATATTTGCTCAGTTTTTACATTGAGCTCTCTGGATTACATCCTCCTTGGGATAATCCATACAGATTACAAATATTTCTTTTATATATATATATATATATATATATATATATATATATATATGTGTGTGTGTGTGTGTGCATTCAAACTCAGAGTAACTATTTTTGGACCTAGACTCTTAGCAATCGTTTTTGTTGGTTAGTGCTACTGCTCTGTCTATTTGCTAGAGACATTGAGCACTTTAGGTTATTGCCTAGGGAGAAACCTGTCTCTTAATGTCTTGTTTTTTTCTTTTTTGTTTTATATTTCCTTTCCTTTTTATGTTGGTTTTTGTTTTTCTTATCTTCTTTTGTCCTTTCAAGTGGCAGACTTTGTTGGTAGAGTTGTATTTGGAAGCTTTACTAATAGTTTGGTTTGTGTGTAAGTATGTATGTATGTTTGCCTTAAAGAGTCACTATACAAGTGCAATATTGGTCTGGAAAGCTGGAGACTCTAGCTGAAGAATGGGTTTCTTGGAGAGTTGGTATTGTTGATGGTGTCAAGATCTTCCATGAGGCATCACAAAAATATGCAGAATTGAAGAGAGGGGTTTGAAAGGGATCCCTGAATTGCCATGAGGTGCCAACCTGGCTCTGTGTCCAACGCAATTGGATATGTCTGCCCAGAGCAGGTCTGATAAGTCATCAGAAATCACACCAACACCAACAGTCTATTGCATATGACGATTTTGTAATGACATGCTTTGAATGCCCAAACTGCACTAGAGTGCGCAAGTTCAGGTCGGGCCTGACAAGGCATATAAAAAGGCACATTAGAAGTGATGGATGTTCAAAATCAACTTCCACCACCCATAGATGATTTGACATGCCATATATGTAACAAGAAATGCAGATCGATGGATGGCTTTATGAGCCACTGTCGTTCGCACAACAAATGAATGCAGTATTGTGGGGGGTGGGTTAACTGATGGACTGGACATGTCAACATGGTCATACTTGCTTTGAGTTGATAGCCACACACACACACACATATATATATATATTATGTTTATACGTTATTTTAATAGATACAATTAATTTAAATAAATGCTCTGTTTTTTTTAAATAAACAGTATTAATTACATTTACCAGCCTGAATTAATACTGTTTATTTAAAAAAAAAATTTACTTAAATAAATTTTATGTATTAAAATAATGTATAAACAAAAATATATTGTCAGCCTTAATCCATTTCATTGGTCTGAACAGATGGCCGTTTGATCCCGTGAAATAAATTATTACCAATGGATTTATATATATTTAGTATTACACAACAAAATCCCAAATTACCTCATACGGGGGATAGATCTATTCCAACCAACAAAAACTTTGTCAGTCTTATTAAGCCCCGGCGTATAGAGTGAGTTTGGATTGGAATTAGAAATTTAATTGCGACAGCCATTGAAAAATTAATACAGAATTTATAAATTTCAATGTTTCAGTCAGACGAAAGGCACAAGACAGTAATCAGAGGAGGGTGGACGGTATTAGCCTTAAAGGGAAGAGGTTTTATAAAATTAAACTCAGATATTAACCTCATGACATTAAATTGTGGTTATATGAAGAATGAAGTTAATTTGAAACTAAAAGTGGACCAAAAAGGAAGGTTTATAAAAAAGTTTATATAGATAAGTTAGGTTTAAAAAGTCTCTTCTTAAAAAATATTCTTCCAAAGATAAATTATATTTAAAAAATTAAAAATAAGTCATATTTAGATAATTTATATTAAATTTAAGAAAGAATATATTTAAAAAAATTATAATTCATAAAACTATATATATATATATATATATATATATATATATATATATATATATATATATGTGTGTGTGTGTGTGTGTATGTTATATGAATTGGGGATCAAATACAGATCAAATATGGATCGAATCCAACAGAATGATAGGATAAAGAACAAATAGGAAACATTTATCAATCTAACATGTTACCCTTTTATTAAAGTTTCATCAGAGAATGAGCTATGGAAAAAAAAAATATAAATTCTGGTATTTTTTACTTTTGTGTTTGATTTTCAATGCTTAATCAGGTTTTATGTGCATTTGACTTGCTAAATAAATGTTAGTATAATTTGTGGCCTCCCAAATTAATAGAGAGACAATGTATCCATTCAGATTTTAAAGAAATCAACAGATTCCATGCCTAACTGAAAATCCACAAATAATTCTTTATGCATATAAGTGTATAATAAATCTAGTTTGTCTTTGTGGGATTCAGATGTTAAGTATATACATAAGTGTGTGTGTGTGTGTAGTAGACATTATGTCATGTAGATTTTGGAATGTGTTTATTTACATGCCATTTGTTTTAGATAAATATACATTAGATTCTTTAAGAATGGATACAATAAAGGTTGGTGATGTAATATGTTTTTAACGTCTGTTTATAGTTGGCCATATTGTTATTAGTAGGCCCTTGAAGTACTTTCTTGATAAAGAATTATGTTCTTTTTTATAACATAATTCTATACAGAACATTTGAACAATTTTTACACATTTTATGTCCAGAAAAGAAAACACTTATACAAACACAAGAAAAAGTAAATGAAAATCTTAACCACAGTACCTCATAAGTTATCTTTAATGAAACTTGTATAAAAGAGGAATATAACGGTATAAAAGAAGGTTACCCAAATACACAATTATTAAATTCCCAGCAGTCAACAAGGAAAGACAACATTCAGAAAAAAAGATTGTTTTATGACAAATAACAACAACTAAAAATGAAATCCAAAAACATAATGAGATACTAAATTTGAGCAATTCATGGTAAGTGCTCCCCAGAATGCCTCCTCGGTGTTGTCTTATGGGGTCATCAAAAGTTTTGGGCTTTCTGGACAACAGACTTCCTCTCCCATTGGGCCCAGCCATGGACTATTGCAATCCCAGCTAGTATTCTGGGTAATTTATGTATAGAGTTCTGCATTACTCTGTGAATGGGTTTTTATGAGGTAGAAGCTGGATTTTCTACCAATCAGTAAATTAAGATGTTTTCCTGCTGGTGTTTATTTTAACCAATGAGGAGCTCAGGTTTAATTTGTATCCCATCATTGCTATAATATTAACCTTTTTCTCCTTTCTCCTTTTCCTTACTCCTCCTCTCTCACTTCTTCTTCCCTTCCTTACATTTAATAATAGATTCTGTAAAAGAATGAATGTTCTCAAAAAGCCATGAGATTCACTCCACTCACTCACAGTTACCAAGGGAAGTTTACTATGGGCCCCCAAAAAATGGATGTGGATAATCTGTTTCTTTCTATAAATTAAAAGCAGAAGTACTTACTGCACATTGGGTTTTTCCATCAGTGTTAACAAAATATCGAAATTGTTCTCCATAACGGCTGGGAAGATATGCAAGCAATGTACTGAACCAATGGGGACCCATATTGGTAAAATGGAGTAGACGTTCATCAAGCTTACTCAGAGATGAAGACTCCACCATACAAAGCAATTCCTCAAAATCAGTGAATGTGAGGCGAGATAGCTGGAAAAATAAAAATTTTCAGAATGAAAGAGATTATGAAAAGAAAAAAAAAAGAAATGAGAAGACAAAAAAGAAAAAAAAAAAACACGAAGAAAAAGATAAAAAAAAGAAAAAATGAAACAAAAGAGAAAAAAACAAAGAATGAAAAAAAAAGAAAAAAAAAAAACAAGAATGAAGAAAAAGAGAGAAAAAAAACAAAGAATGAAGAAAAAAAGAAAAAAACAAAAAAAAAAAGAAAAGAGAAAAAAAAAACAAAAGAATGAAGAAAAAACAGAAAAAAAAAACAAAAAAAAGAAAAAGACTTTTTTCCAAGCAAAAAAAAAAAAAAACAAAAAAAAAGAAAAGAAAAAAAAAAAAAAAAAAGGAAGAAAAAAAAAAGAAAAAAAAAAAAAAAAGAAAAAAACAAAGAACAAAAAAAAAGAAAAAAAAAAAGAAAAAAAAAAGAAAAAAAAAAAAAAAAAAAAAAAGAAAAAAGAGAAAAAAACAAAAAACAAAGAAAAAGAAAAAAAAAAACAAAAAACAAAAGAAAAAAAGAAAAAAAAAAAATTTAAACAAAAAAAAAAAAAGAAAAAAACAAATTTGACAAAAAAAAAAAAAAGAACAAAGAAAAAAAAAAAAAAAAAACAAATAAACAAAAAAAAAAAAAAAAAAAAAAAAAAAAAAAAGAGAAAAAAAAAAAAAAAAAAAGAAAAAAAACAAAAAACAAAAAAAAAGAGAGAAAAAAAAAGAACAAAAGAAAAAAGAAAAAAAAAGAACAAAAAAAAAGAAAAAAAAAAAGAAAAAAAAAAAAAAAAAAAGAAAAAGAAAAAACAGAAAAACAAAGAAAAAAAAAAACAAAGAACAAAGAAAAAGAGAGAAAAAAACAAAGAATGAAGAAAAAGAGAGAAAAAAACAAAGAATGAAGAAAAAGAGAGAAAAAAAACAAAGAATGAAGAAAAAGAGAGAAAAAAAACAAAGAATGAAGAAAAAGAGAGAAAAAAACAAAACAATGAATGTTTAAAAAAAAAAAAAAGAATGAAGAAAAAAAGAAAAAAAACAAAAAAAAAAAAAAAAAAAAAGAGAGAAAAAAACAAAAAATGAAGAAAAAGAGAGAAAAAAAACAAAGAATGAAGAAAAAGAGAGAAAAAAAACAAAGAACGAAGAAAAAGAGAGAAAAAAAACAAAGAATGACGAAGAGAAAAAAAGAATGAAAAAGAGAAAAAAAAAAATTATTTACATAAAAAAGTCTGAATTTGAATGTTTTAGTTTGAATTTCATTTTTTTTTATCATGTCACATGTTGCTGAGAAAGTTGAATGCCTTCCAACATTTTTTACAGCTTATCAACTTTTTGCAGGTTATTTAAAGCCAGAAAATATTTTTTTTGATTGTAAATTTTTTTTGGAGACAATAGAAATTTACCGATACAATTTCTACTAATTTACCCATAGCTCGGAGAGAAGAGGTGAATTCAAATTTCTCTCAGGGGTATTTAAGGCATCTAAGTGAAGATATGAACCCAATCAGAATTCAGCTCTATCAAACTCCAATTCCGAAATATCATCCACTACACCACCTGCAAATCCAAGCTTATAGCACCTGGTATTCCCAAGTGGTTACCATCTAAGTAATTTTTAATTTAGTCTTTTTTGTCTTGGCATGTTTTGTAGGTAGTGTAGAAGGAATTTGTTTTCATATCTGCATTTGGAAATCAAAACTCATTTCCACATAAAAAACGCCATGCAATGTTGATTCTTATGCCGACATTTTCGAAATCTATATGGATATGAGTGTGCAAGCAGAGTTATATAAGTATGAAGGCAACATTAGAAAATGTAAGCCCCATGCACATTTTAGAAAGCAATGACCAAAGATTATGCATTCAATCAAACTGGACTTACAAAAACATCTAATTAATTTAAAAACAAGAATCTTTCCATCATCTTCTTGTCCACCTTTCAGAAGCCGTTCCCAGAGGATATCACGCCGGCATTTGCCCATGCAAAACATGACCGTTCTTTCAATCTTCCTCCTGAAATAACAAAATCAGATCTTTCTTTAGCTCAAAGCACCAACAGTTGCACAATGTAACTAAAAGATAGAAACAATAATACAAGCTTTGTACTGAACATAAACCAGTCATTACAAATCTCTCAGTTGTGCACGTTTGATTCAATTTGGCAACCCATCAGAGAGCAGGGAGCTCACAATTCCAAATTTGAAATGAGAGGCCACAATTCCAAATTTCCAAACAAAGGCCACGATTCCAAATTTCCAAACAAAGGCCCGATTTAAATTTCAAACAAAATTTTCAAATTTTAAACAAAGGCCACGATTCCAAATTTCCAAACAAAGGCCACGATACTAAATTTCCAAACAAAGGCCACGATTCTAAATTTCCAAACAAAGGCCACAATTCTAAATTCCCAAACAAAGGCCACAATCCCAAATTCCCAAACAAAGGTCTCAATCCCAAATTTCCAAACAAAGGTCTCAATCCCAAATTTCCAAACAAAGGCCTCAATCCCAAATTTCCAAACAAAGGTCTCAATCCCAAATTTCCAAACAAAGGTCTCAATCCCAAATTTCCAAACAAAGGTCTCAATTCCAAATTCCCAAACGAAGACCACAATTCCAAATTTCCAAACAAAGGTCTCAATTCCAAATTCCCAAACAAAGGCCACAATCCCAAATTTCCAAACAAAGGTCTCAATTCCAAATTCCCAAACAAAGGCCACAATCCCAAATTTCCAAACAAAGGTCTCAATTCCAAATTCCCAAACAAAGGCCACAATTCTAAACTTGTATGAGCTTCACCACTTTTCCATTTTCAGAAATGAATATATTACTGTATTGTTTACATACAAAGACATAATCACACATAGAATCAATCAAAAATATTAATGCGATTATTGGCGACATCCATCGCTAGAAAACATAATATATGCATTAAAATACTGTTCATCATACTGTATTATTGTTTACTTTTTAGATATCCAACTGAAGCTAGAAAATATATATTTGTACAAGTCCCAAATAGATAATTCCAACCTTGGCTAGGCTCCATGGCCAAACTGTCAGAGGCAGACTCTGGCTCAAAAACTTGTTTCACTGATGAAAAAATAAAAAGGGGATGCAGGTTCGATTCCTGTCAGGGGTACAAAGTTTTCCTTAGTAAAACTTTTCAATTTACACTAGATGTCATTTCACTGTTTAAGAAAAAAAAAAAACAGATCATAACCAGATCACATGTACTCACTAAAAATAACATTTATAGTAATAAGAAATAATTTAGGATAAAAAAATACTTTAAAAACATTACTAGTCTACATTTTTTTTTAAGTGTGTGTATACATTTTTGGAACACCCTGTGTATATATATATATATATATATATGCACACACAGGGTGTATCAAAAATACTTTTACAAACTTTGGGGGTGGGTTCCTCACATGAAAACAAGGACAAAAGTCCATATAAACATATGTTCACAAATCCTCCATTTTTGAGTTATTAAGTTTAAAGAAAGTTTATGGCTGATGGCACTGTGTTGTCATGGAGACTAGGTGATATTTGTTATTCGTGTACATTTGTGGCTAGTATGTCTTCAATGTTTAACGTGTGTAGCAGTGAGTTAACTGAGAAGTGTCCCATTTAACAATGGCAGGATATATTCATATAGTGAGCAGGGAGATATGAATTTTACATATGGCCATACAAATTATAATGGACACAAGGCTGAGTGGTTGTATCAAATTGTGTATCCAGATTAAAGTCAGCGAAGTCATCCAACCTTTGCTGCTGTTTATCATTGTGTTGCTGAGAGAGAATCTGTGGCACCACAAACTATAGATCGAATAAGACCAAGATCCGCTCATATGTCTGAAGAACGTATTCTACAGGCTGTCAGAGACAATCCAGATAGCAGCACATGTCAAGTGGCCCCAAAAATGTTGTACAGTATGGAGTGATGGTGTGAGTAGTAAAGAGAAACAAGTTGGAGTTGAGGGGAGGAGTGATACCTGTGACTGCTCCCAAGGAAGGTGGATAATTCCCTAAATTTGGGAAGTAAGTCAAGAAAGCAGAAATAGGGGACAAAGGAACCTTGGTAGGATTAATGCAATAATTGGGGAATCACCAAATCCCCAGAACATGTTGGTTATAGACTGACAATTTTGAGAGCTTTAAGACTTCAACAGTGAACATCTGCATCTGTGTCTCTGGAATTCACATCAGCTGCCACTAAGACCTGCTGACATAGAACCCTGAACACCAACTCCTTCAAAGTTTCTGACAAGGCACAGTGTCACTATAGAGATTGATGCAGGAAGGATTAATTTTTGTTATACCAAGAACTACATAAACAAATTGAAAAGTGACCCAAGGATCCTTTTGTTTTTTATTATTTTTCATTTTGAAAATATTTCTTCCTTTGATAGAGATTTCACTACAGTTCAACCCAGTTCTACGATTACTTTGATGTTTGACCTGTCACTACTCTGTGATGAACAACACAACATGGGTAGAGTGGGTGTGAATTGAAGCAGACAGCTTGGACCAGTATTGGTATTGACCAGTGCAAGGTTAGCCCAGTGGCTAATATGTCGACCTAAAACCCTGAGCACCAGATCGCTAAGTGTGGTTACATCATTGGGTGTAGAGTGGGCATGTAAAGGGTACTATATATAGTGAATAATTGTTTTGAACATGTAGTGAACAACAGTTGTTCACTACATGTTCCAAACTGTTTTTGAACATGTGGTAAACAACTGTTTTTGAACATGTGGTAAACAACTGTCTTGAAAACAGAAAATGAAACATGTATTAACACTTAAAAAGCATACTTGGCATACAACAGGAAATGTTCCAAATTAGATTTGTTAAAGTCTCCCAAACCTCTTCAACGGATCAGAAGACATAACCCCCACCCAACTGTTACAATACAATAAGAATGCCTACTTTGCAGCGTCAGCTTCCTTGGTGACAAGGCAGTGAAGTGGAGATAATCTTCGTTGTTTGTTTGTCGTTTCCGATCTTACTCCAATGTGTTGTTTAACAGGAACGCTAAACTGCTCAAAATCCTCAACTGTGTTTGGAACCAGGAAGGCCCCCGTAGCTCGCAGGGTTCCACCCAGCTTCTGTACAAAGCTCTGCATTGGTATTTCACACTTGCTGGTCAACACCAGGAAATACTGCAGGCAGAGCGTCGAATTGTCTTTGCCCGAAGGAGGCACTTGTGAACCTGCACCTGTTCCGCTGCCTACACTACAAATGCTACCACCACTTTGACTGCGTGTGTCTAGTTTGACAACAACACCGACGTTATATTCGTCATTTGGTTTGCAGGACCCATCAGAGTTTCCGGCCAAGGTACGTGATTGTCTGTGTAGTACCAAAGCCTCTTCCTTGTCTTGCTGCAAGCCAGATTCCTAGAAATAAACAAAGTCAAATTAAAATTTCAAAATAAGATTGTTTGCAGGAGTCAAAAGTTAACAACCATTTGGAGAATACTTGGTGATGATTTTCAATTTAAATTAGAAAAAAAAAAAAAAAAACATTAAAATAATTTCAAATAATAATTTTTCGCTGAATGCAACAAAAATAAAAAGGGACGATTATTTTTGTCCATTCGACTGAACAAGCAAATTTATTTCATTCAATTAGCGCACAAAAATTAAAATTAAGAAATACATAACAAACAAGGCTGTCCTTTTAATGCAGTTCTGAAAGAGAACAGATTTAGAATGAAGCAGGTTTTGATTAACCCTTAAACAGCGAGGAAATTTCACAGAACTTGCATGCCAAACAGGAAAAAAAAAACAGTTTTTATGCTTATTTTCACTTTAATTATATACAATACAGATATATATACATGGCTGACATGGTTAGAACATTTGCTTTCCAACTATGAGACCCAGGTTCAAATGTCACCCTGGTCAATTTTTCAGGAAGGTGACTTCTTGATGCTATCAGACTGGGAAGGTGATCCCAGCAGGTTGGCCTAATCTTTATGAGTGAAATTGGGTAGACAGAACCTTTTGGGAGCTGTTGACAGTTGTGCTAGCATGAAGTCAGAAGTCATTGTGACTGAGGGTTTGAGCCTACTCTTCTTGTTTAGACTGTTGATCAGGTCAGATAATCTACTTTCTCCCTGAAACTGTAATTAAGGTTCACTCAGTATAGTTGCTGTATAAACCACAGGTGAATTATCTGGGTGTTGAACAAGCACAAATGTGTTTGAGCAGGCATCTACAACAGGGATTGGCTAGCCATTAGTAGACAGGCAACACAGATAAGTGGCCTGCCATTATATATACAAAAACTATAAAAATTATTTTGATATTTTTTCAATTAAGAAATGTAATAAAATAAATGCTACGTTTCTAAATTTAATATTTTTGCAGTATGATTGATACTCCTTGATATTTAAAGATATTTTTGCAGTATGATTGATACTCCTTGATATTTAAAGATATTTTTGCAGTATGATTGATGCTCCTTGATATTTAAAGATATTTTACAGTATGATCGATGCTCTTTGATATTTAAAGATATTTTACAGTATGATTGATACTCCTTGATATTTAAAGATATTTTACAGTATGATTGATGCTCCTTGATATTTAAAGATATTTTACAGTATGATTTATGCTCCTTGATATTTAAAGATATTTTACAGTATGATTTATGCTCCTTGATATTTAAAGATATTTTAGAGGATGATTTATGCTCCTTGATATTTAAAGATATTTTTACAGTATGATCGATGCACCTTGATATTTAAAGATATTTTACAGTATGATCGATTCCTTGATATTTAAAGATATTTTATTATGATTGAAAGATATTTAAAATATTTTAGTATGATTAATACTCCTTGATATTTAAAGATATTTTTTAAAGGAGATGCTCCTTGATATTTAAAGATATTTTACAGTATGATCGATGCTCCTTGATATTTAAAGATATTTTACAGTATGATCGATGCTCCTTGATATTTAAAGATATTTTACAGTATGATCGATGCTCCTTGATATTTAAAGATATTTTAGTTATGATCGATGAGGCTTGATAAAGATATTTTACAGTATGATCGATGCTCCTTGATATTTAAAGATATTTTACAGTATGATTGATGCTTCTTGATATTTAAAAATATTTTACAGTATGATTAATACTCCTTGATATTTAAAGATATTTTACAGTATGATTGATGCTCCTTGATATTTAAAGATATTTTACAGTATGATTGATACTCCTTGATATTTAAAAATATTTTACAGTATGATTGATACTCCTTGATATTTAAAAATATTTTACAGTATGGACAATAATCTTTGATATTTAAAAATATTTTGCCACACGATTGATACTCCTTGAAACATTCCATGTACAATGCAGTTGTGTATTATTTGCACCAAACTGTCCCCATTTTCGTTTTTTTCTCTTCACAAATTATGTAGAGGCATAGCACTGTTTCCAGAATATTATTCCAGTTTGATTTATAGCCAAATACTCAAGGAAATAAATTAATCCTGAAGCAGTCTTTTGAACAGGAGTAAAGGTTTATCCCTTGTTTCCAGTTCCTTTTGAAAGTCTACTTTAACTCTGTACTTCTAACATCTTTGCCTGATCTCTGAAATTTAGACTATTTATTGACCTATTCTTATTCTTTCTTCCTCAATAGCAGTCGATAGCTCTGCCTATCATCTGGTTTGCACGCTTCTGTCATTTTCTGAACAGGAGTAGAAGTCTATTTACCATGGAAAATAGAAATAGTTTTTGGTTCCTTCTAAAGTCTACTTCAACTTTATACTTCTAAAATCTCCACCTAAGCTTGTTTTTTACCTCAATAGGATTAAATAGGTTCTCCTATCATCCGGTTCACACTCCTCCTTGATCTTTTGAACTAGAGCAGAGGTTTATCTTTTGTCTCCTGTCTAGGATTGCATTTTCCATTCCTTATAAAATCTCTGTCTATATTTCTGAGATGAGGTACTATGTACACTATTTACATTATTTGGACTATTGTCCTCATCTCTGTCGCCATATTTATTACAACATTTTGGCCGTTGTACTTTAACTCTATACTTCTAATGGCTTCACCTAAATACTGAATTTAATTTATTTTTATTTTTTCTCCCTCAATAGGAATAGATAGATTTGATAATTATCCAGTTCACACTCTTCCACAGTCTTTTGAACAGGAGTAGAAGCTTATCCACTGTGCCATGTGTCCTCAAGGATAAAGGCGTTGATTAGATCCAGTGACAGGATCCAAAGAGTGTGAGTTCAATACCTGGTTAAGGTAGTGGAGAACATGGAGAGTGGAATTAACAGGAGATAACTGATAACTGACATCCTTTGCACATGGAACTAGAACAGTCTACCCCAGTGAGCAAAATAAAGGGTTCAGTTCAACATTCCAATCACCTGAAGAAGGCCGGAGTGTACAAAAAATTTAAATTTAAAATTGTAATAAATATGGTGACAAAGATGAGGACAATAGTCCCAATAATGTAAATAACCTTTAAAGTCTACTTTAACTCTATACTTCTAATGGTCTCGCCTAAATACTGAATTTTATATTTATTTTTCTCCATCAGTAGGAATAGATAGATTTGATAATTATCCGGTTCACACTCCTCCCTGGTCTTTTGAACAGGAGTAGAAGCTTATTTACCATGGAAATAGCAAGAGAAAAGCAAGCAGCTTGCAACATTTCACCTATTGGAAAGAGGTTGTAGGGTAGAAAATAATTAATCCCCCTTAAGGCCATATAGAGTAGATAGATTCACTTATCGTCCAGTTCACACTCCTCCCTGGTCTTTTGAACAATAGTAGAGGTTTATCCCTTGTTTCCGTTTTAAAACATATTTTAGTTTCTTCTAAAGTCTTTTCCTACTTTTTCACTTCCAGTAGCTTCTTGCATCTTAGTGGCATTATCGCCTTGTTTGGGGTGAATTGATTGAAAAGAAAAAAATATATATATATACCTCATGAATTCTAGAATTGCCAATTAGTCACTTAGACTTGGATCATGACTGAATGATGCTTGTATTGTTGAAAGAAATTTAAATACTCAATTGATGATATCTGTTGATCTCCAATATGGCATCAAATGATAAAGCTCGCTGTTTAAGGGCTAAAGTTATTAAAAGCTGCAGAGAAGAAGAAGAAAATAAGCTGTCATATCGAAAAGAGAAATGACGCGGCATTCCTTTGTCTAAGGGTCAAACCGGCCAGAAGTTGACATTGACGAAGAAAAAAGACAGAGAAAAAAAGACAAGGTTTTTGTTATTTATGCAAAGATCTTGAAAAGCTGAAGAAAGAACAGATCGAATATTAAAAGACAGTGAATACAAGACTTGGAAAACTTTTGGTTATTTCATCTTAAAAAAGGAATCTACAAACTATTTTCACCAATATCAAAAATGGTCAAACCTTGGCTCCCAAGCCACATGTGGCTCTTGATCATTTCATAGGTTGGCCAGATCAACAAGCCCCTGATGAAGGCTGGGGAGCACAATGCCTGAAACATTATGATGATAACAACAAAAATGAGAACAGCAGTCCTCATGTAAATAATATAACTCAGAGAATACAGGCTCAACTACTTCCAAAAGGTACATCTTTTTCCTTCATAAGACTATGTATGTTTAGGACAGTGGATATTAATTTCACCATAAAAATGAGTGTATATAAGTCTGCATTTTCACTAAAATAATATTTGCAGAAATTAAATATATATTTACAAAATATATTTAATGTAATAAATTATTTCAACAGCCTGATGTTTTCCAAGTCTTGTATTCACAGTCTGATTCCTTTAAAATATTTGAAATAATTTATTACATGGAACAAAATTTCTGTTTTTTTAAATTATTTTTTTTTTACATTGAGCTCTCTGATTTTATCCTCCTTAGGTTTAGCCATACGGATTACCTAGTTTTCATAAACTATATATATATATATATATTTGTATTTAGGCAGTTATCCTTCTTTCATGAACATTTAATTTATATAGACAAGGTGTTTTGATTTAGTTTTATACAATTTCTCATGTGATCTAATAATTTTTTTTTTTTTAGGATGATAAATTATATAAAAACTGTCCAAATGTTCTTTTATCCGAGACAATCAGCTATACATTTAG